GGATGAATGAGTTGTGAAATAAACATTGGCGAGGAATTATGAAGTGCTTTGAAAACAAATAATAAAATCTTGGAAGTAATTCTCTGTGTTACAGGAAGCCAATGAAGGTGCGTTAACACAGGAGTGATATGATCCCTAATTGGGCTTAAAGTGACCAAACGGGCAGCTGCATTCTGAACTCGCTGAAGTTTTGAAATATCCTTAGCTGGCAAGAGGTGATCCGCTAGCGGATAATAATAATGGGGATAGCAATAATGAATTGCTCAATGGCTTAATAGAAAAAATGCACACAAACAATACATATTGTTGAATTCAAAAGCATTCACACAATATTTTGGCTATCATTAGCATCTGAAAAACTGTGACAATGCAATTATTGATTATTGATAGATAGATTGATGGATAGAATGAGTAAGATATATTTAGTAATTTCATCCTTCTGCATGTTCTTAATATTTCCATATCTTTATGTTTGAAAGGTAGTTATTTACTGTTTTAAAAAATAATATTTTTTTCAGGCTAATAAAGGAAATGAGGAGCTAATAAAAGAAAGAGATTCATATCTTCTGGTAAGGCATTTATTATTGGCATTTCTTTCCATCTGCCAGTACAGGTGGACACGTCTGGTGTTATTACACTATGCATTACAGTGGGTGGGGACACAATATGTGTTTATTAAGTTCATTTACAGTGCTGGCAAAAGCGGCACGGTGTCATTTCTTGTAAAACAAAATTGTGTTGAATTCTTTGGGCATATGTTTAAAAACATTTAAGATGAGCTTTAAAAAACAGAATTGCCTAGTTTGTTGGAGTGCCATGGGACTTAGCCCACTTACTGTACCCCAAACAGGGCTTCACATCTGTATGCTGACAGACCTTTTTTCCTCCACCTGATATTGCCAAACCCCCTGTTGGACAGCTTTGATTCCTTGAGCAATCTAGAACCTCCACTGAGTGAGACTGTTTGATGTTTTTCAGTGATAAAGTAATGCATAACAGTGAGTGAGGATAATCGAGATATTTATACAATATGAAAAGCAGTCAATGTGACAAAATAATTATATTTTGTGTATATATACACAAAATAAATTAAATTTTATACCAGAAGTTTTACCAAAAGCTGTGTTAAGTGCAATCTGTGATTTGATATATCTGCAGTGTTCATCAGATACTTATGGCAAACTGTTGCTTGATGGAGAGTCTGTCCAGGTATTGGGGTGTCCCCAAAATGATGCTCCTTCTGAAGGTATTGTCTCTTTATTTCTCATTTTTGTTCTTATAGATTTTTAAGTAGCACATTCTTTCTTGTTTTATTTTTAATGAAGTATTAACAGTGCTTCTTCTGTCTGTAGTTACAGTTCAGTAACAAAATTTTCTTGTATTAGGTCAGCTGTATATCTACCAAAGAGCAATCATCTTGCAACACTGTCGTCATGGTCTTGTTGTGTTCCCCAAGTCATACTTTGAAGAGCTTCAGCTGTATGATGGAGTGAGTATTTACATACATGTCTAAACATACTGATTAATGACTTTTTACCTTCATTGTTCAATGGAAGCATTGACGTACAGAGTAAAACTTCTAGTGCAGTTATGTTTAAATTTGGTACATAAAGTTTGTTGCATAGGTGGATAAAATCTAAATCTGGTAATCAGTAAGAAAATTATGTTATATTGAATAATAAAAATATTAATGTCTTGATAATAAAAAATGAACCTATCAGCTAAGCCCTGCCCCTTATATATTGTTACTAAGATCCACAAATTGACAGTGTAAAATATACACAAACACGTGTGTTTGTGGGACAATGTGCATTTTTGAGGCGTGCGCATATTATTCCTAGCCTGGTTGTGATTGGTATTACAACGTCCTCCATTCAAGAACCATTTTTGAGATCCAGATATAAATTGCCACAGACATTCCCAAAGATCATGAGAGTGGCAGCATTCCACCTCCAGACCTTGCTGATGAGAACAACAAACCCTGCCCCAACCATTCCCTCGTAGTGAAGAAGGATTTCTTTTTCTTTTAGGATTCTTTCAACAAAGTAGCAATACTGGTGATGGTGTATAGACATTCACTGCAGTCATTCCTTCCACTGCAATACCACACACCAGGTGATCAGGTCATGTTCATCTTTCAACCAAAGACTAGAGTCTACAAAGCATTCTACAGTGAGGTGAGTTATCACTAACACATACTTATTTTACAAAATTGATTATATTGCTAATTGCTAAATTACACATAACCTACTTGAAACTAATTTTATTCAAGCATGAAATTCATTTAGCAGAGTGAATAAAAATGCTTGGAGTTGCTTGTAATGCCAGATTTTAGTTTCCTCTGAAAAATGTCTGATTGAGGCATACTGATGTCGTGTGGAAGACAATTCTACAGACAAGTTTAGCAGTTTGCTTTCTAAAACATCCACAATCGAAATTTTGGCATATAGAGGCATCGATGTTTGGAAATGGAGAGTCACATCACATTGGCTTGGGGTGGGCATAAAAATAGAATGGAGGTTCAAAGTGAATATTAATTTAACACTACAGCATGCATATATGCATATAAAACCTTCATTGCATTCATACCACTTTATGGCCAGTTTTAACATTTTACAGATACCAGTAATCAGCATCGAGCAATAACATAAAGGGATTCTAGTAGAAGGTAATCGGCGGTCTACGCATATACCGTAAATGCTTGAATAAGTGCCGCGCAGCTTATAAAATTTTTGGAGGCTTCAGTGCGGCGCTTATTCGCGAGCGGCGCTTATAGAATAAAAGTGTTGGCGTGGCGCTTTCTATGCTTATTCATTAGAGTTCCTACACCATTCACATTTTACCCATCTCACATATTTTCATAGGTTTATAGGTCATACGTTATCATACATAAGCGTTTATAAAGAAATGCTTGTTTCTTCAATGTGTTATTTAACACTGTATGCATTGTATTTAAAACCTGTTTCTCAAATTGTTTCATTACACACAAGGTAACATAATACACTTGATTAAGCGTTGTGGCGATTAATGAAAACAATTGTGTTTGGTGCGGCACTTATTCAAGAGAGGCGCTTAAGCAAGAGCAGTGCTTATTTGAGCATTAATTTTTGTGGGCCATAACAAATTTGCTATTTGGCCTAAGATTCCCCGCGGGGTGCACACTGCATACCTGTGGTTTACATGCTCCTAAATTCCTTAACAATTATTTCTGTGTTGTGTTAGGGACATGAACTTTTTTCCCTGCATTTCCTTTTCGATTTGTTTCATAATGTAAATCATGTGATGGCTACAATCATTTTATTTACTATTATTCATTGTGTGTTATAATGCCATGACAAAAAATATAATAAGTATTTTTGGAATGTCTTGAATTTCCTATGAAATGTATATAATAACGTTGCTTTACAATGTAAGCTTTCAGATTTCACCATCTTTTTATTAAGTTTTGAGTAAATAAGCACTGAGTTACCAATATTTGTTAAATCCAGTATCAATTTATGAAATTGAATCAACAATTTGGTTGTAGGTGTTGTCAGCATGGCAGAATGCAGGAGATGGTCCACAGCTAAAGCAAGTTGACAAACCACCTCAAATTTATGCTGACAAGTAAGAACATAATCTCATCAGTTTGTTGTTTCCATTTTTTTCTTTTCATTTATTTCTCAGGCAAAATATAAAAGCTAACAAAATGGCACGATCAGAAACAACAAGAGTGGGGGAAAACTAAAAGCCAAAAGTCTAAATCAGCTATCGAGTGGTTCCCCAGAACACATACAAAATATCACAAATACCAAAAATAAAGATAAGATATATCGTACATCATTTGTCAAAGAAGAGCGACCGCTCACCGGTCCGCGCATTTCTCCACGCTTAAATACAGTACAGGCGCAACTTATTGTATTTGTTTTTTGGGAGCACTAATAAGATAGAAATTTTTAAATAATTAAAATGTTTATTTGTACAAAACAAATTATTATTTATAATGTTCATTTGTACAAAATTAAAATATCTTAAAATTGAAAAAAAAAAAAATTTCTTAAGATTGAAAAAAAAAATTGAATACCAAGATGCGATTCAAACTCACAACCGTAAGTTCTTTATAACACATCCTTAACCGAACGCGCCATCCATGTGAAATTTCCTGCACTTACGTTCAAAACTGGCGACGCTGAACGCTTTTAAAGTTTTGGTAACAAGAACAAGAACAGCAGTTAGGCTCTGGGGTCAGCGCCTTGTGTGGAACAAATTAATACGTATAAAAATAGTTTTAAAAAATCAATAAATTAAAAATTTAATAAATTATTACTTTTTCAAATTTAATAAGTAAATTCAATTTAAATCAGATGAAATGGTAGCTGGGAGATCTTCAGAATGAATTGAAATTAAACAGAAGGTTGTTCCTGAGGTCTCTGGGCAGTCTGTCCCTTGCGTTGGGAATATGGTTGAAAACAGAATATTTTTAGGCAGTGATACATTTATATGCAGATCATTTTTGTTTAACATGAACTCTTTCTGTTTAGTTGATTTTGTATGATAATATTGATGAGCTCCATTACAGTACATACATACATTCACTTTCATTACTGATGATCTTATACAGTTAACTACAGTGTATTCAGGACTATAAAAACTTCAAGAATCTAAATCACTTTATGTTTACGAAACAAAAAATATTATTTCTTTAATAAAAAGTGTTATAGATTCGGTGTACGGTAAGAATGGCCCCGGAAAAAATGGCCCATAAGACAGGTAGGTAAAAATGGTCCCAATGAAAAATTCGGTAATAGAAATGATATATATTTTTTTAATCTTCAAATATTTAAATACTGTATAAGCAAGAATTGAATCAAGAAATAAAAAATGGCCCTCAATTATAAAATTCAGGAAAAAAAAAAAAATAAATAAATTTTGTAAAATACCTTGTAGCAAAAATTTAATTAATAAATCAATAAAGAATATGCATAATTGATAACTAAAATAAATTAGTTTATAATGGCCCCGGAAAAAATGGCCCCGATAAAAATGGCCCCTTATGACAGGTAGGTAAAAATGGCCCCAATAATCAAATTCTGAATTAAAACTGATTTTTTTTGAGTCATTATATGCATTTTTTTATCCTAACTAATTTACTTTTTAAAAGGAATTTCCCCAATAATCAAATTCTGTATTAAAACTGATTTTATTGAGTCAATATATGCATTTTTTTATCTTAAATATTTTAGTTTTTAAAAAGAATCTAACATCAAACAAATTGCCATTTACATTTTACTTTTTGCAAGAATTAATATTCAATGATAAAATATTCAAAGATAAATAAAGAGCCATGAATTACATTTTTATTTTTTTTTCCATTTAAATGTTAAAAAATAGCAACAACATAATCAATAAATCAACATAAATCATGCATTTATTAATACTAAAATAATTTACTTGTGGCCGATTTCACGGAAGCAGAATCACAATTTTCCATAAATTCAATCTGTGTATTGGTAAACCCCACAAACAGTGGGTTTGTATGAACATCAAATTATTATTATTTTTTCTTTTAAGAAAAAGAGAGTTCTACAATCATAATTATTGATATACCAAGTCAGTCAATCAAAATTGAATTGTTTGATTTTCTACAGTGTGTCTTGGGAGGTTTGTGGGATTTAGCAATACCACTTAATCCTACCATAATCACCCTACCCTCACAATCGCACACCATTTTAATTCTTAGCATAGTTGCCATGAATGTAGGTAAGAATGGCCCCGGAAAAAATGGCCCCAGAAAAAATGGCCCCGGAAAAAATGGCCCCAGAAAAAATGGCCCCGGTAAAAATGGCCCCATATGACAGGTAGGTAAAAATGGCCCCAATAATAAAA